ATGCTGGTCACACTCGACGCGCACGTAGAGCGCTGCACCGTACGCCTTTTCGGAGGCATCGCAGAAACCGTGATGTTCGATCTTTACCGATGGCTGGTAACATACCCATCTTGGAATCTTGATCTCGGGTAGTGATGCGTAACTTTGCAGAAAGTCCAGCCAGCGTTGGTACAACGAACTTGGAAGAGGTTCGTCCCATCCCAAATCTTGCAACCAGATCTCCTGCATAAAAATCTTGGACCGGACGATGAATGGGGCTAGCCACCCCGCGGGGTCAAACAGCTTCGCAATTTGGGAAAGAACTTCTCGCTTGGTGTAGGATAACTCAAGCGTGAACACGGGAGAAACAAAGAAGAACTCGTCTGACGCCGCCTTCCAGCGAACTCCGAGGGTCTTTGCCGTGCTCTCGGCATCGATTTCCAGAAAATCGGTGTGCAGAAGGTGGTCACTCGGAAGCTCGTCCAAAATCTCCTTTTGGTTGGACGTCCATTTGCGCAGTGGAAAACCTCCAGAGCTGAGGGCGGCCTGCAATTCGTGGATAGCCAGCTGAGCCTCCTTGATGGAGTCTGCCCCGGCTACGACGTCGTCGACGTACATGAAATTCCGCACAATGTGACTTGCCTTTCGAAATCGCGACTGGATGTCGTCGGCAAGCTTTTGCAGTACCCGGATTGCTAGAAACGGAGCGCAATTGACACCAAAGGTCACGGTTTTCAGCTCATAATCCCGAATCTCACCCTCCTGGTTTCGAAATAATATTCGCTGGAAGGCGTGCACGTTGGATGTACCCAAATTTGGCGATACATCTTTGTATTGTCGGCGTTGAAGACGTATAGGAAATAGCGCCACTTCAGGATTCGGAGGGTTAAATCGGATTGGAGGACAGGACCCGCATGAAGAAGCTCGTGCCGTTCCACGCGGACTTTCGTGGTAGTGCTCTCCGGCTTGATTACCGCATGGTTCGGGAGATAATAATTGGCGGACTCGTTAGTGGTCGGAACCTCTGTCATATGATCGAGATCTAAATATTCCTGGATCACAGAGTTATACTGTTCTTGAAATGGAACGTTTCTCTTTAGCCGATTCTTATTTCGGAGAAACTGAGCTAGGGCAATGGACCTTGAATGCCCCAGGCCTGACCCACAATGATCGGGGTCACGAAACGGCAGTATTACCACGTACTTTCCGCTTGACGTTCTTGACGTGGTTCGAAGAAAATTTCTTTCGCAATAGGAGTCCGACTCTCCTGATAGGTAGATCTTCCACCTCCCAAAACTTTGTGAGAAGTTTGTCCATTGGAGCATCGCGGACGTGGGAAATTTGGGTGGAGAAAGATGCAATCTGGTCTGGAACAGCACTTGGCACTGGACCGGTAAGCACCCACCCAAAGATGGTTTGCTGTCCGAGGAGGGAACCACAGATGTCGGTCTGTGAGCCGCTTAACAGTATGGACGGAAGGATGACGGCTCCGATCAGAACGTCTATCTGTGAGCTCTTATAAAATGTAGGGTCTGCTAAAGGCAGGTTCGGCAAGTCTCGCAACGCGCTCTGCGGGATCGGATATGAAGGGAGATTGCCGGCTATGTCGGGCAGGACGTAGGCCGTGGCGTTTAACTGTACGCTCGGCGTCATCAGGGAGCGAATGGACAAATCACAGAGCTTCTTGGATTGAGCTGCTACAGTCTGATTTAGGCCTGAAACCTGGGCCTGAATAAGGCGGAATGGCAACTGGATGATATTAAAGAGACGTTCCGTAATGAACGTCGCCTCGGAGCCCGAGTCGATCAGAGCGCGGGCACGGAAATTTGTCCCCCGGTGGCAGATGTTGATTATTGCCGTACAGAGAAGCACCGCTCTTGTTCCCGAAGCAAAATAGTTCTGAACGTTGGGCGGAGCGACGGAAGAAGCGGGATCCTCCGCTGTTGTGGAAGTCAGCTCGCTGGGAGCTGGTGTCCCCCGATGCAGGAGCGTGTGGTGGCGGGCTCCACAAGTGAAGCAACTGTGGGCGCTTTGGCATTCACGGAGCTGATGACCTCTAGCGAAACAGTTCAAGCACAGCTGCCTTTTTTTAATGCAGCAGGCTCGTGCATCCACAGTCATTTGTAAGAAGTGCGGACACAGTCGGATCGGATGGTTCTCTTTGGAACAGAGATCACACGTTCTTCTCTTCGGACTCACTTGTGTCTGGAAGGAGTGAAACTTCCTTGGCACGGGACTACCATGAGACCGAAACGGATTGGAGTTGCTTCCGAAGGATTGCGGATTCAAGGAACCTTTGGACGATGGTGGGGTCGGATTGCCTTTGGAAGTGGACGGGTCGCTCTCCATGGCCTCTAGCGTCAAATAGCGCTGAGTGAGGAAGGCATCGATTTCCGTCCATGGAGGCACCTCCTTCTTGTCTGTGACGGACGCTTCCCACAAAGACCGGGTCAACTTCGGCACCTTGGAGGCACAAATAGTAACGAGGAGGCTATCCCAGTTGTCGGTGCAGACCTTGGAGTGAGCAAGGGTGGTGAGGACCCCTTGCATCGTGCTTTGAAGCTCTTTTAAAGCTCGACTGGTCTCGGACTCGACGCGAGGCAAAAAGAGCAAAATATTTATCTGGTTGGTCACCAGGAGCCGATTATTTTCATAACGGTTTCGGAGGGCCGACCATGCCGACTCGAAACCATCGTTTGTGAGCGGGGACTTCTCGACTATGGCCTTCGGATCGCCACTTGTCTTCGCGGTGAGATGGTACAACTTCTCTACCGGAGACAGCCTAGAATTATGTATGTAAATTGCAGTAGATAAATCTCGAAAAGTAGGCCAACGGAAGTAAAATCTTCTCGGATGTCTTCTTGGACCCTTGGGTCCTCGTCAACCATCACTGCGGAGCAAGCTTTATATTCCGCCTCGACATCCGCCCACATACTCAGAATTTGTCCTCGGCGAACCTCGGAGAGAGATGCGGATGGAGCGGAACTGATGCGCGCTTCCATATGAGACAGCCGGCCAATGGCGGCGGCTAATTTTGCTCGTGCAGTGGTGGTGACGGGTTGAGCCATTGTGATGGAAGGTCTCGAGCTGACGGGACTATTACCGAAAGAGCTGGTTGGATCGTCTTGGATGCGAGCTGGCACCTTGAGAGTGACGGGAGACGGGAAGAGAACCAATTTGGTCCTTGCAGCTGGGCTGCTACTGGCTGCTCTAGGAGTGACTGGCGACTTGATCTTTTGAGTGGGGGTAGCTCCTGAGGCGGAAGAGGTGCGTAGCCGACGTGGAGAGGTCGCAGCCAAAAGCCCTTTGCTGTCCTTGTCACCCGTTGGCATACTACTCACACACGCAGAGGTTGGATGCGGAAGTCGGATGCGGAATCCGCGGATTGGCGAAAGAACAGAAAAAAAACTAAGGCTGGACTGGGCACCACACGCGAAGGCACTAAATTCCTTCAACACACAAAAAGAACCCACTGCTGGAGGAATGGAAAGTGAAGGCTTCTGAGGAGTCCAGAGGGCGACGAGGGCTGTGTGGGCGATTTCGTGGGAAATCGGAAGAAAAAGATCCAAGACCGTGGTTCGTTTCAAGGTATATGTATATTCAGAATGACTTTTCACATTTTTTCCATCCGGTAAATATTTAACAACTCCCCCGCAAGGTTGATAAAGCCAGGTGAGGCCGTGGCTTGATAATTGGTTAGGGACGCTGGGAGTCGAACGCGCACATCCCGCCGCCCTTGCAATGTATTGCAACTTATGGGGAGTCCAATGCTGCAGAAATTTTTAAGGCCGGCACCCGCCCGACAGCGTCCACCCGAAGACGGTGTGCTGGGCAACGGCGAGCCTCTCGGCACTCGGCAGCATTCCATCGCGGATTATGTCACCATACACGTCCGCTCCCAGAATGAGAGCCACAGTGGCCGGGCGATGAAAATTGTCGTCTGCCAACGTGAGGTGATCAAATTTGCTCCGTATGCGATCACCGATGGACGCGGAAGGAGTGCGCAAATGCAGCTTCGGGTCCACTTGGATCACGACCTCCAACAGGAAGTCCGGGAACATCGGTGACCGGAGCACTGCTGCACAGGCTTCTTCATCACCGATCATGGACGTGCTCAAATGAAAAGCCTTGGCAAGCGACGCTTTGATCACATGGGGCGGCAGGGGTCGATCAACGCCCTGGTCTCATAGGTGGTGGTCCCGTTGTCGACGGTGACGCTTGCGGTCGGTAGTACCTGCGGGTTGCGGTGCCGCTGCAGTGTGGTCAGAGTTGGAGGTCGGCTGGAGGAGGATGCCGACGTCCTCTGATGAGTAGGTCGGCGGGAGGCGGAGGATGCCGTCGTCGGAGCTCGAGGTCCAGCTGGTGAGGACGGTGTGACTGGTGTGGGGTGACGACGATCTGTGTCCGGAATATGCAGTAGGGTGTGGTGGTAATGCCGGCAACGGTCTCCGATGCGGCAGTCGCGTCCCGAGTGCTCGTGGGCTAGGCGGTTGGGGCAGTACTGATTGATGAGTACCGCCCGCAACCGCTTTTCAGCGCTTAGCCGCAGGAACCGCCCGCACTTCCTAAGAGGATGGACGCCTCGGCAGACTCGGCAGCGGTAGGACATGGTACCTCGGGAACGTCTGCTATCGTGGGCTTGATCCTCGGTGCTTCTGTGTTGGGTGCGTGTGGACTGATGGGGTGCCATGATGAGACCGTGGCTGCGGAAATCGGAAGTGAGGATTAATAAATATGTGCAGGAGAGTTGTACTTAAGCCTAAGGAGAAGAAGGCGGATACTTATGGATCGGATCCTACGCGGGAGTAGGTGGACTGGATCTCCGACTCCATAGGCAGCAGGACGACCTTGGTAATCGGTCTTTTGATAAGGCCTCGGACCGTGGTAAGGTCTATCACACGGACCTTATCATCGGCTCCAGGATACGCGTTCTGCACACGGCCGAGACGCCATTCCTGAGCGGGGATGTTCTCCTCCTTGATCACCACGAGGTCTCCAATCTCGAGGTCTCTTGTCGCATGCTACCATTTGTTACGCTTGTGCAACTCTCGCAGGTAATCTGTCTTCCAGCGCGAACAGAATTGCTGGTTGAGAGCCTTGAGATGTTGCCAGCGGTTCAGGATGGAGGAGGCGCTCTCTTTGATTTCAGGCTCCGCCACGGAGAGTAGCGACCCACCGATCAGGAAGTGACCTGGGCTTAGAGCCAGCGGATCATTTGGGTCCTCGGACATAGGAGAGATCGGTCGAGTGTTAAGGCAGGCCTCAATTTTGGAGAGTAAGGTGGCGAACTCCTCCAATGTATATTTGGCCATACACATCGACCGTTGGAACAGCGTCTTGAAACTCTTCACGCTTGCTTCCCAAAGGCCACCCATGTGTGGGGATCCCGGAGGGATGAACCGCCACGATAAGCCCTGCTGACTGTACACCGCAGAAGTCCGAGTTCGGATGGCCTCGAGAAGGTCTGTAGCCAGAGCACGAGATGCGCCGACGAAATTCCTGCCGTTGTCGGATTGGACCTCGTGAGGATACCGTCGTCTCGCGACAAAACGAGCGAAAGCGGCTAGGAAGGTGTCAGTGGATAAGTCGGACGTGGCCTTTAGGTGGAAGGCTTTCGTGGTGAAACACACGAACACGCACACATAACCTTTGGTTATGCGGCATGCGCGCCCGGTGAAGCTCTTGACGTCGAAGGGACCGGCAAAGTCGACTCCGGTGTATGTGAATGGTCTGGAGAATGTCACTCTTGTGGACGGAAGGTCACCCATTAATTGGGTTTGGAGTCGCCTTCGATGGATTACGCATACCTTACAGGATTGGATCACCGCCTTTACTACGTGACGTAGTCGAGGGATCCAGTACGTTGCGCGGAGAAGACGAATGACCAGCTGGTTTCCACCATGGAGGACTATGTGATGAGTGAAACGCACCAGCAGGCGAACGAGGAGGGATGCGGGTGGCAGTAGGATTGGATGTTTCTCGTTGTAGAACATGGAAGCGGAGGCTTGGACTAGGCCACAACCTCGCATGACACCGTTCTGGTTAATGAATGGATTGAGATTCCGTAGGGAACTCGAGGCAGGGAGAGGACGTTTGGTTGCAAGGCACCGATGTTCGTCCGCATAGTGCATGCCCTGCGTAGCGGTGGTAACGGCTTGCAGTGCGGCCGCTATCTCTGCCCGGCTTGGTTCCTTGGAAATGTGGACTGACCCTCCTCTGCATCGTTGGATAAATCGCTGCACATAGGTAAGCACGCGCAAAGCTCGCCCGAGATCCGAGAACCCGCTGAGGATGTCAGAAGATGTGCTACTTGCATGCAGCACCTTGACTGCTCGCTTCTCCAAGTCAGTCTCCGGGAATGGGTCCAGTGCACACGGCCACTGTGACTGCGGAAGGCGCAGCCAGGCAGGACCATGCCACCACATGTCGTTCCCCGCGAGGTCGATGGGTCCCATACCTCGGCTGGCTAGGTCGGCAGGATTGTCTTCCGATCGCACATGACTCCATAGCTCGCCGGAGTTGCAGCGCGCTATCTTGGCGACTCGATTGCCCACGAACGTGGTTCATTCGCACGCTGGCTTGTGCAGCCAGGCCAGCACAATGGTAGAGTCGGTCCAGAAGGACACCTGGCTAGTGTCTAGCGGCATCTGTGGAAGGATGGCAGCGGACAATTCTGCCAGAAGGACCGCTCCGCACAGCTCATGTCGAGGCAAGGATATCGTCTTCACGGGGGCCACGCGAGTCTTAGCTGTCAGGAGAGAGCAGAATATGCCATGCGGCCGCTCCACTCGGACGTAGATCGCCGCACCGTAGGCACGCTGAGACGCGTCGCAGAAGCCATGAATCTGCACCTTGGCAGTCGGACAGACGTGGATCAACCTTGGTATGTGGATCTGCTGGATGGCCGGAAAACTCTGCAGGAAGGTCTCCCACGTTTGACGCAGATCGCCAGGAAGGTCATCGTCCCAACCTAACTCTCGTAACCACACCTCCTGCATGAACATCTTAGCTTGGATGACAAAGGGGGCAAGCCATCCCGCTGGATCAAACAGCTTCGCAATCTGGGACAGCACATTGCGTTTCGTGCAGGCCTCCCGATGCGATACCCAAGGTCTTTGCGATACTGCTTTCTTCGAGCTCGAGGAAATCAGCTCGCAGTAAGTGGTCGAGAGGTATGTCGCTCAGCACGCCCTTCTGATTTGCGGTCCATTTTCGGAGTGGAAAGCCGGCGGAATAGAGTGCTTCTCGCAACTCGGCGATGGCGGAAATTGCCTGAGGCTGGGTATGTGCACCAGCTAGAACGTCGTCTACGTACATGTAATTGGCGAGGATGTCGCTTGCCTTTGGGAACCGAGGACGCACTTCATGTGCGAGTTGCCGCGAATGGCGAGAAATGGCGCGCAGTTGACTCCGAAGGTGACCGTATCGAGTTCATAGTCGCACACGTCGCCGCTAGGATTGCGAAAGATTATCCGTTGATATGGAGTGTGTTGTGGCGCCACGAGGATCTGCCGATACATCTTATTGATGTCGGCGTTGAAAACGTATCGGAATACGCGCCATTTCAGGATTTGCGTGGTCAAGTCGGACTGAAGGACTGGCCCTGAATGCAATATGTCATTAAGGCTTTCTGGCTTGAAAACAGCATGGTGTGGAAGATAGAAGTGGCCGGAGTCATGACTAGGTGGAACCTGTTTCATGTGGCCTAGCTCTAAATACTCGTGAATGACGGCGTCGTACTGCTCCTTGAGAGGCAAGTTTCGCTGCAGACGCTGCTCGTTTCTCAGAAACTGGGCGTGGGCCGAAGGCCTGGAGTAGCCCAAGTCTATATTTTCTGGACATTTGAATGGAAGAGTGACGATGTATCTCTCATCGGGAGCTCGCTGCGTGGTCTGGAGAAAATTTTCCTCGCAAATGGAGGTCGCTCGCTCGTAGGCCTTCCTGGAAGGTCCTCCACCTCCCAAAACTTTGTGAGAAGTTTCTCGAGTCGCACGTCAGAGCTGACCGAGATCTTCGTGGTGAAGTAAGAGATCATTCGAGACGAGTCAGCTGCGATAGGACCGGACAGGAACCATCCGAAGATAGTCTCTTGGCCCAGAGCGAGCCACAAATGTTGGACCGCAAGCCGCTCAAAAGGATGGATAGAAGGTGTAAGGAACCTACGTCCGGAATAGAACGTTCGTTGAGTTGTCTAAAATCCACGCACATTCGCCACTTTCCGTTTTTCTTGCGAACGAGCACGATTGGGGCACTGTGGGGACTTCGTGATGGTTCGATGAGACCCTCGGCCAATAACTGATCGACTTGTTCATCTATGATGCGCATCATGGCCGGATTCTTGGGATAATATCGTTGTTTTATCGGACGACTATCCCGCATGACAATGGTGTGTTCTGCTAGGTCTGTCGCACCTTGTAGAGTTTCGAATTTTGGGAGTTCGTCGGCAAGAAATTCGCGGATGTTTTGTGCTATGTCTGGAGGCCAGGGCTGTACGTCTATTCCGGGTTCGTCTTCGGCATGCGTGTTCATTTCTGGGTCGGCGGTTTCGATGGAGTGGTCGGGAAGAATTGTCGTGTCGAATGCGCTTGGGTGGTCTGGTCGGGTGAGGTACCCAGAAATGTTGGAGATGATGGGTGTAGTGGCAGCCATGATTGCTGGATACCGCTGGCCTATGTCTCGAAGGAATATCGGCTCGACTTCGTCCATTTGTCTAGCAGCGTATATGTCCCTCGGTTCCACGGTGGTCCTTAAACTTGTGATCCGTGTCCTAGTGTTCGTGATCGTTGTTAATATTGTCGTGCTCGTGCTCTCTGTGGGTGTTCTCGTGCTGGTGGTCTGGGTGGCCATTCTCGTGCTTGTGGTCTCTGTGGAAACCATCGTATTCCTGTTTCCTGCTGTTATCCTCGTTTTCGTGTTCTCTGTTGCTTGTGTTTGATCCTTGCTCTCTGTCGTAGCGGGGGTTTGTGTTGGTTTTCTTGCGTTTGCGGTCTCCGTGGATGGTGGCGTAGCCATGATTGTTTGTCTTCGAATTTTGTTCTCCGTTGAGGATTTCGTAGTTGGGTTCTCTGTTGTTGGTCGTTTGATTTTGTTCTCGGGTCCTTGGGTTAGTACATGGCTGGCGGAGGTCATTGGTTCGTTGTCATTGATGCAAACGCCTCGTAAATGTAGGCGAGTGGTTCCGCATTGTATTGTGGTTACTATGGCGCACAGAAAGTCCATCCCTAGGATGCTCTCCACCATGCTTGGTAATACTAATAGGGGTATCCGTACCTCGCGCATATGTAGTTGAGTGGATGCGAGTAAGACTTGTGTAATGGGCCTCACTGACCCGTCGGCTAAACGGATCTGCATTAACGCGTCCCGTACATTCGTATCCGTAATTAATCTCTCGGCCAGAGCTTGGTTTACGAAACTTCGGGTTGCCCCTGTGTCTATGGTTGCTTCTGTGGGTCTTCCTTCAATCTTTACCATCGCCACTATCCGGCCGTCATGTACGTGTAAGGGTCTTTTTGCTCTTTGGTTTTGGATGGCGTCATTCTCGGCTGTTCCCGTCGCAGTCGAGGACGCACCTAATTTCCCGACGTTTCTCGTTTGCAGCATTGGATGGTTCTTATGCCTCGTTTTCCGCATTCCCAACAAAATAGGATAGAACTATTTTGGCAGCTTGCCGCCAAATGGTCGGGTTCTCCGCATCGACGACATGCTGTGCGCGCGTTAGCAGTGGGGGATGCGTCATGCTGAATCATGTTGTTGGAGATCGCTTTACCAGGTGTACTGTGTTGTGTTGGGCCGGGTTTACTAGTGAGATCGGTACGATTGTATGATTCTTGACGAAACGGGTTCCGAGTCTGGTTCCTTTCCGGTTCTTTATACTCTGTGCTCGGAGTGGGTCTGTTGCGTCTTGATGTACTCGGAGGTGACTTCGCTTCTGGTGAGTTCCAGTTTCCGTTTTCGTTCCGTTCTTGAATGCTTTCAAATTCTACGGCTAATTGTGTTAGCTGGGCCAGAGTTCGAAGTTCGTGTCTCCTCACGTATAGTTGGTATCCTGGTAGAGTATTGTCGTAAATGCGGTTGAGTTCTTGAGTCGTGTCATACCCTGCGTGGTGCATTAGGAGGCGGATCTCTATGACGAAATCCTTAAACAGCTCGCCCACCGCTTGTTTTCGTGCCCGAATTTTGTCTTCAAGGTGTTCAAAATATCGAGGCGGAAGGAAAAATGTCAAAAATTCCTTTCGAAACTCTTCCCAAGAAGCGCTTTGAAGCCGGCTGGTTCGGAACCAGCGACCCGCTCTATCGGTTAGAATTTCTGCCATGGCTCGAGGTAGATGATCAATGTCGAGCCCGTATGAAAGAACGCGTTCTTCGAGCAATTCTACGAATGCTAAAGGATCGTCGTGACCGTTGAATTGGATACCCCAGTGCCGGATTCTGTCCGCCATCTGGAAGGCGTGGGCGTACGAAGTGTTGCGGTGGTTCCCAGGCTCAGCGTGTCTGCTTGTTTCGTCCGTAGGATTCAGAGTTCTCCTCATGGATATCTGACTGGCTTCCGGCGACCGGTGCCTTGGTGAACCTCCCTCGGATATCAGGACGACCGGTGGTACATTGTTTTTGGCCGCCGCAGGCGGGGGAACGGGTATGCCAAGTTTGTGATCGAGGCTCTTCTTCTTTTCCTGTGATGTTTTGGCGCTTGGCTGTGGTGATTTGGAACGTCCAAAGAACTTGGAATACTGTCCTTCAAGTTCCGCCAATCGAATCCAGACGTCACGAGTTAATTTGCCTTCGACGAGCGTAGCGAACGTCCTTCTCAGGTCATCTACGGTGCCTTCCTTGGCGAACCCGAACTCGTCGGCGAATGCTTCGAGTTCGTCTCGGCGGCGTTGGTGTATCCATCCGGTACCCACCCCAGGATTCTTAATCATTTCTGCAGGGTAATACTCACTCTGTTCACCGTCAGTACTTTGATCCATGCTTGGACGTAGAGGCTCGTGCTCGGGTAGGTGTATCGGTATTTATTACTGGCTAGTGTGGTTTTCGCGCACTGGGGTTGTTATTGTGGGGTTTTTTTTTTCTACTGTCTCGTCTATAATTAATATCGTGTTATTTTCTTTGCTTGCCTGTATATTGCGTGTATTGTTTTCGTGGTTCACTTATTCCAGGTCTTATTTTATCTCTGCAAGGTTCGATTTTCGGCACTGGCACTGGAAGTGCGTCGGAATTTTGTTCGGTTTAAGAGTTACACTGTATCTGCACTGCGATGATTTCTCGGACCGGCACTGTACTTGGTTCGGAAATGTTCGCAAAAAGCTGACTTGAAACACTGGGATGGCTTTTTGGACCGCGATAGTTTTTCGTACCGACACTGTATTGTGGTACTGCGATGACTTTTCGACTGGCACTGTAGCGTTGTACTGCGATGATTTTTCGGACTGGTACTGTAGCGTTGGTTTTCTCGCGA